ACTAATACTATTTATGATATATATTTAATATAATGTATAATGATATATAAATTGTTTAAACAAAATATTTCTATGCATCTAAAACAAGCATATTTTGCATTAAGTTTTAAAATTACATGACAAATTTATCTTGAGGATAAAACGAGCTCAAAAAGGTCAACGAAATTTAAAATTTCTCTGCGGAAAATAACGCTCTTTTGGAAAAATAATGAAGGGACGTAATATCATTTTTTGCATTTATTTTAAGATAGTTTCAGACAAAGAATTGTGTATTTTAAAGTATTAAAGTATTTATTAAAATAGTTGTTTGTAAAATGAAAATTAATTGGCACCAATTTTCTTAAAAATACTTAATATTTTTAATATTATAATGTTTCTGTTCTTTTTTATGTTTAGGCGCCACCTGGCGTGCAGATTGAAGTTGCAGATGTGGCAACGCTGGCAGAGTGGCCACTTCTGTGTTTACTGCAACTGCGCAGTAGCAACACACTGTGAAGAATCGAACTGGTAATCAGAAACCCCAAAATGGCAATACTCCAGTGGGGCAGGTCCACCCAACCCCACAGACATTGCTGGAACTCGGCAAGGGTAAGTCAGCTATGCTGTGTGCTTGACTGTGTGTGTGTGTGTGTTTGACTGTGTGTGTGTGTGCGCGTGTATTTTGGGTTTAACTACACTTTTTTGTTTTGCTTTCTTTTTGTGTTTACTGCCGTTTTTCCAGCAGCAGCTTTTAGCTTTTCACAGCGTCGGCTCTCGCCGTGTGCCTTTGAGGTGCGTGCGTGCGTGTGTGTGCGTGCGTGCGGATGTGTGTGTGTGTGTGTGTGTGTTTGTTGTTTGCGAGTGTTTGCGTGTGTATTTGTATCGGTTGGTTTTCGCTTTTCGCTTTTCGGTCTGATAGTGACATTGCTCGGCTCGGCCAGCCGCTTACTTGGCTTTTGGAGGCTACAGCTGCCTGGCTTTGGTGGTGGATTTTCAGTTGCAGCCCAAGCGCCAGCAGCGCCAGCCAAAACAATAAGCATTTTTTTTTACTATTTTGGCTGCCAATTGAAAAATTATAAACAAATGTTTCACAAATAAACACCAAATGCCAGTGGCAGCAGGGCCAAAATAAAAATAAGAATATAACAAAATTAAATCAATTGAAATTTAAATAAAATAGTGATAATTAAAATACGTGAAAATAACGCACAAATAAAATAGTTTAGTCTAATGTACTCGAACTAAAAACAATTCAAAGCAACCCAAAAAAAAAAACACACAAAAAAAAGAAAATAAACGAAATAAAGGCAGCAACAGCAAAAGAAAAAAATTCATTGCATCTATTCAGGCGCATAAGGAAAATGAGCGCAAAGGTAGGCCAAGAGCGCGCGCCGCTCTCTCTCTGCATGTGCCTATATATGTGTGTGTGTGTGTGTGTGTGTGTGTGTTTGTGCGTGTGTGTCTCTGTCTGTACGTGTTCTGTTTTTGTGTGTTTTGCGCTTATGTTTATCGCAATATCAACATTGCTGTAGGCCGTTGGCTGGTGGCCTTTTTAGCTGACAATTGCGCAAATGAATTTGCAGTTTATGAACATTTTAATTGGCTTCCCAATTTAATTAGCGTTGCATGTGCCACGCCCCCCATTGTCAGCCCCCTTCTAGAATTTGCTCTTGTTAGGCATACATAAATTGCATGGCCTGCATTGGGAATTGGGCCTGTAGCTTGCTGAGCTCAAGACATATGTCTAACATATGTCAGACGAGCCTGCGAAAGAGCCAAAGATAGTGAGCGATAGAGAGAGAGAGAGAGAGCGAGTGTGAGAGAGGGAGAGTGGAAGAGAGGGGGGAGGGGGGCTTGTGCGAGCGAGACTGTGGGAGAGCAGCATTGTTTGTGTGTGTATGTCCTGCGTTAACTTTTATACGATGTGAACCAAAGTCAACTTATGATACCCTTGCAGAGGTTTCTCTGCAAGCAGGCCTCTTGATGAGCACGATACTTTGTTCGTCTCATATAGGAATTATCGGTCATATAGCTGCTATATGATATCTCTGCTATTGGCATTATCGGTCACAAATTTAGATTAATTTTGCTATTTTTCAAAATATCTTGACTAAGTTCAACAAATACGAACTTCACTTTTCTCTCAGCATATCTGCAAAACCGCATTAAATCGGTCTACTTTATAATATGGCTGCTATAGAGACGCAATGATTCAGAAATACATTTTGTGTATGAAAGAACTTCTATGCCAAGTGTCTGGCAGGGTATTTAATATTCGCTGTGCCGTCGATTGCTGTTCGTTCTTTTTGAAATGCAATTTAGCGCATGAACAGCGGCTGCTGTGGTGGGATTGCATTAAAATCCTATTTAGTTACTTGAACATTGACATCCCCCCCCACCCCTTCCCCTACCCAACTACGCAGCTAACCAGACCTGGAAGCAGCTCAAACTATTACGCATATAAATGCGTAGTTGCGTATGCACAAGTGCACGCAGCCATTTAATAAAGTGCGCAGTTTGCCAAACCTTTGGCTATAATTAATTTTCTTATTAAATCTGCATTGCAAGACAACTATAAGCTATACTAAATTATATAGAAACTATTTCATTCAGGCACAATTTGTTGGTTTTTAAGTTAACTTGACATTCTTTAAAGTTGATAGCTAAATTAAGCTGCCTGTTTTTCAATACATCTAGAACTTTTAAAGCAACAGTAATAATGAAAGCATTTGAATGTACGCGTGCCGTTTACTATGTATCAATACCTTAAAAAAAAACATTTCACATTTATCTCATTTAGATTTCCATCGATTGCCTATAAAAAGAAATGCGATTTTTGAAAATTTTTTTGGGGTTCTATCTTAAATACTCTTCGCATGGCAAACATGTGTAAATATATTATTTGAGTGAAAGTAGGTTTGGAAATAGGTGTTTATATATAAATATATATATGTATGTATATGTTGTATATGCCTGATTCAAGGAACCAACATATTGATTGATTGAAGATCAAAGCATAGTCCAAGAATTAAGAACCTGATGGCTGCATTTCTCAAAATAGCTTTATTAATGACCAGTATGTAGGTCTTGGCCATGGGTTCTTGGAAAATGCCTACCGCCAGGATAAGGTATTGATGGAAAACAAATGTAACAAATGTTTTCATCCTTATTCAATCGTTGTGAAAATTCGCAGCAGACGTTTTTCGCACTTGTCAACTTACGTCAACCCTCTTGGTGGAAATTGTAAGGCTTCCGCTCCATCGAACATTATTTGAGTTTGGCGAAAATTCAACACGTTGGGTTGAAATGGTGAAAATTTGGCTTCAGAAGTTGAATATCAAGTCGATTAAGTGAGGAGCAGAGCATCATATTTTGTTCAGCTAAGCAGCTGCTTCCGCTGAATATATATACTCTATATATATGCTTATGTGAATGGCTCAAGACTCGCAAAGATTATAACTTAAATTATTCACTTCCGTTTGCAGACTGTCATTCGCCGGAGTCTGAGTGTCATTTAGTCGCTTTCAAAATTTCAAATTTCTTGTTTGGCAAATTCGATTTAATTTATGTTTACATTCAACAGCGGCATATTTTCTTTTTGCTGTGTTTACGCTATGGAGCATCTCTGCTGCACGTCGATTAGCTTTTGGCAAATATTATCCCCGACAAGCCAGCCCGCCCACATACCCTCCCCGGATTTGGGAGGCACAAGACTAACAAGAAAAGGCGCAAAAAAAAAACTGCGCAACAGTTTTCATATGCGTTGCGTGTGTGTGTATGTGTGTGTGGTGATAAATGGCATATTGTAAGTCAATACAAAATAAATACAGTGTTCACTGCCAAAGTGATACGCATAGAAACCATTCAATTTTATTATTTTTTGGAAGGAATATACTTTCAACATGTTAGAAGTTTTCTGTTATAAATGGGGAACGCCTTTCTATGCGTTTCTCAAGAATTTGAGTAATATATATGATTTTGATGTTATATTTAGTAAAATATATTTATATAGTTTAAAAAGGTGACGATTTGTTGAAGACCAAAAGCCTTCGAGTCTCGCTCACTCTCTCTTCGCCCTCTCTTTTTCTCGCTTTCTATCTGTCTCTCTCTCTGTCTCGTTCTCCCTTGGGCTCTAACTCTTTCTCCCAATAACTTCGCTCTTGTATATCGCCTTTCTATGCAGTTCTCATGGTCACAAAGAACGCTCACAGGATTCGATATTTGTGTTTACCTGTGTATATAAGAGTGATATGCCCAAATTACGTTAGTAAATTGTCGTGCCAGCTACTTTTGATTATTTTTTGGAGAGCTCACTGCCATCTTTACTTTGTTGTCCTGGCCACTGTGTGTACGTGCGAAAAGATAGGAAGCTCGATAGACATATTGTGTACAGACATGCATATATTTGATTATGGAACATAAAATTCGAAGGTTGTCATTTCGAGCACAACACACACAACCACACACCCTCACTAATCGGGCAAAGTATTTGAAATATAATATGCATACAGACATACAGACGAGTGCTTATGTAAATACTAGAAGAGTGTTCGGGTATTTACATACTAAATGTTCAAATATGGTAAATACAATTGACGCACAACATCAAATAATAAAAGCTGCTATGCTATTTAATTGTCGGGCAATAATAAATATTATTTTGCATTCTTTTGGTTGGCAAATTCCTTTCAGTTAACACTACTAATATTTATGCATTGCAGGGGGAGAGGGGGAGGGGGACACTCACAGTTACACTCACGCTCACACACACTCGCTTACAAAATTGAGTCAATTAATTTGTTTATAGTGCAAAATCATTTGAATGCGAGAAGCGAACCCAAAAGCCTATGAACTCGGTATATTTGGACACACACTCGCACACACACACACACGCACACAGACACATGTATATATATATATATGTATGTATATGGTGTCGCTGCGGGTATCGGCATCGCCATCGCCATCGCCATCGCCTTTGCCATTGCCATTGCCATTGCCATCAGCATCGGTATCGAAGCAGCTCGGTATCGCTGTTCGGCATCGTTCAGTGCACATTCAACGGTCATGGGATGAACATCGGATATCGTGTATACGCGTTATCTCTGGCGCCCCCTCTCTCTCTCACACACACGCTCTCTTTTTGCCACTCTCTCGCAGACCAAGATCTAGGCGTCCAAAACAGTCTTACGCGCGCCCAGTAAATTAACAACAACAACAACAAACAACAAACAACAACAACAACAATCAAAACAACGGCAAATAAACAAATACAAATACCACGAGTTCTGAGTACTTACGAATTAATTTTCAATTGTTGGTTTGTCTTAGCCGTCGCCTAATTGCTGAAAATGTGGCTCACCGATTGCCGCACGGTAGGTGTGGGTATGGTCTGCCTATAACTGTGTGTGTGTGTGCGTGTGTGTGTGTATGGTCTTTGGATATTTGGCTTATCGCTCTTCGAATTTCGACTTTTTATGAACAAACATATAGCGATAAAATCGTAAGCAGTGTATGTTGTTAATATGCATGTACATATTTATAGTGTATACAATTTAATGAACGTACATATGTGTACAAAAATATTATTGTTGCAGCCAACGCGGGGGTAATAATAATAATTATAATAATAATAATAGTAATAATAATAATAATAATGATAATAATTATTATTTTAAATAATTTTTATTATTTTTACTATTTTACTATAATTTGTATGACTATTATTATGAATATTTTATTATTATACATATTATTATTACTTTATTTATAGTTTTGTATATATGAACAAACTATGAATGCTTTTGTTTGGTTTTATATATATATATATTTATATTTTAATGGTTTCGCAGTCTTATATATATTTTTGTTTTTATTTAAGTAATACTCACATGAATGCTACGGGTACGGGCATAAAATATGTAATTCGAATCGAATTAATCATTATGAAATTATTTAATAAATTTATTATTTAATAAAAAATAAAGATTATAATAAGCAACCCCAATTTTCGCCACTTTGCACTTTGAACGTTTCTGGCCCTTAGGCCCCCTTAAAAGCATTGGCTTAGAGCATTGGTCAATATGTGAATTTAAATTGTATAAATATTTACGAAACAAAGTTGAGTTTAATATTTGATAAGGAGAATGTATAATATTATTCTTACCAGCACGCCCATTCATTTGAATACGCACACACACATGTATGATTATCTTGTCAAGTTGAACTGAAGATCAGTTGCTTTCCTTTTGACATGCAAAACACTTCAGACAACAAAGGGTTAAGCTATGTACATAACAAATGCCGTATCTGAACAAGGCAGCCGGGTCCGTGTCATGGTAGGGTGCTTGGAAATGAAAGTGGGATGCGGGGCAGCTGCCAAACGAAATGTGAGAAAAAGCCCCAGCTATACAAATGCCGGCCGTAGAGGGCACCCGAAAAGCTCAACGCAGACGGACGGGCGCGTGTTTGGTGCAAAAGTCTTGAGAATTTCCAACTATTATCAGATGTTGTACAATAAATAAACAAATAAGCACTTACATACACCGCTGGCCACTTGGCTAACGACAGTGTAAACTGAAAGCTTCTATTAAGTTGAAACAAATGTATTTGGCTCGGAATTCGGAAACTTTTAAATATACATATGTGTGCCTGATTATCAGGCCCCAAATCCAAAAACGACTTTGTCATGGTTCAGTTCGAGGCAGCTTCCTGCTCTGATGTTCGATTTGGCAAACTGGCCTTTCACATTCCTGAACCATGTTTTGGATGAAGCCCTGAGAGGCTGTTTTTCCGACTTTAAACCAATAGAGAAATAGTATCCGTATATATGATGTGCATGTTTTGTGTGGATAGCACTAGATGCTCTGATCTAAGGTTTTGCTTGCTGGCAATTTACATCTGTATGGGCATAACAATGAGAGGTGAATAGCAGCAGCCTAGTTGCTGATAGAAATCGACTTAAATAAGGTCGTCTCAGACTGTAGCGGATCATAACTAACCGTCCGGCATTGTATTGTATGCATCTTACAGATGACACGCTACAAACAGACCGAATTCACGGAAGATGATTCAAGTTCAATTGGAGGCATACAGCTGAACGAGGCGACGGGACACACGGGCATGCAGATACGCTATCATACGGCTCGGGTAAGTACAATTACAATACACGTGCCCAGGCGGCAAAAATAATAAAAGAAGAAAACCTACACCAAATACACTCACGCATTTGCAGTTTGTGTTGGGCAGAGCGTGTGTCGTTATATGACAATGACCCAAAAAGACGCGTCGGAGATTTGATTAGCTTGAAGGTTACCACGCTTGTACGCTTGTGTAGTGTATAAGAAGCTCATAAATTTAAACTTTTTTTTTTTTAATTTCTAAAATTTCCATTCGCCTTGACAAAAGAGAAAATAATGATAATACACTTTATTTTGAATTCCATTTAAAATTTCTAATATCCATGCTCAAAATTGGAATTTATATTTCAAGGCATATAGCCCCGATTTTTATTTCTATTATAGGTTTAGGACACAGCTATAAGATATCAACCGATGCCTTAAATAGCACTAGCACAGGCTTCAATCAAAACCTAGCCCAGGATTTGAATCTCGAACGTCATTTTTAATCTATAAAATATGTTCGACACGAAGCTCAACAATGATATTCTGATAAAGATCAGGCATAGAAATATATTTAAAAACTTATTTGCGAAGCAGTATAAAAAGGGTATAATGGTTTTGTGCAAATGAATGTAACAGGCAGAAGGAAGCATCTTTGACCCTATAAAGTATATCTATTCTTGATCAGCAACAAAATTAAAGTCGATCTATCCATGTCCGTCAGTTTGTCCGTCCGTCCGTCCGAATGTATGAACGGTTCGATCTCAGATCTCCTTTAAGAGCTAGAAGCCTGAAATGTTGCACGTAGTTCCTCCTAGTGTCCAAGTTTGTATTTGATAATCGATAACTTGCCCGGTTTCCAAGCAATCGATAAAATCGATATTAAAATTCTATTTTTTGAGCAAATATACAGATCAAGTTTCTATCAGCTTAGAGCTACCGCCGCCCCCGCCCTACCGCGAGCTGCATTTGGTGTTGGTAGAAGAAGGTTCAAGGTATCCAATAGTCGGACATTCCCGACTTGAGTACTCTTACTGCTTTGAATAATCACATGGACCAAAGTGCGTAGAAGATTTTACAAAATTGTTACACATGCTTTCATACACATACTTTAAAATTTGGCTTGCTTTTCTAATAAATACAAATATTATATCAATTATTATTCGTATTTATTGTATACGAAACTTATTTAATGTGAATTAAAGCTGAGGCTCCCATATTGTCGTCTGCTCTCGACTATTCCATTATTATTTCTTTCTCTTTTTAAAATGCGTAAGCTTCTGACAAACTTGCTGACGGCCTTAGAATGGCTTAAAGTAAAAATGCCGTAGAGCAAGATATATGATTGCTATTTCTGTGGACATTTTTTTAATGGCATATTGATTTTCTTGTGCGACAGGCTACATGGAACTGGCGTTCACGGAATAAAACCGAAAAATGGCTGCTGATTACCACATTTGTTATGGCTATCGTCATCTTAACGCTACTCATCATGATATTTTGCAACAGCTCCGATAACACCAATCATGTGGTACACGTCCAGCCGCATAAGAAGGGTAAGTGGAATAAATAGATGTAGCACATGAATGAATATATATAAATATAAATATACGTATGCATATATTTCAGATTGTGTGGAGGCCGATGAGTTGCCCTGCCTAAATGAGCACTGCATTTTTGCATCAAGTGAGATTCTCAAGTCCATTGATGCCAGTATCGATCCTTGCGATGATTTCTACGGTTATGCATGGTAAGCATATGAGCATAAGAATGGGATCAGGAAGATGTGAATAATATCGAACTGAAATCGAGCAATGTGAAACAAATGATTCCGAACAGTTTTTTAGATATGTTGCAGGGCAACTCCTCTCTACTATCATGTAGATATTTTTATACATCATTAACAGTTTTATTATATGGATACTACTCTGTTTATCCCTTTAATCCTTTACCATTTACAAAGATGTTATGTGTCTCGGATTCTTTTGTATCTTGTAGATATTATTCTATCTCAAGGATAGTATTTCAACTTATTGATAGTAATATTATTTGTCACTGAATCTATTGTATCTCACAAATACTATTGTATTGTATCTTAAAAATACAATTTTATCTCGTTGATGACATTTGTACAGATACTATTGTACCTTAAAGATACATTTGTATCTTATAGATACTATTGTATCCCACAGACCTCTGGTATATTTGAGGACCCGGAAATCATAGAAAATGTACAGGACAGAAAAATGTATAGCAGATACATAAGTATCTTTGCTTTACTGGGAGTTATCTTGATTTAAGGAGTTTTTTATTACTCAGGCGATAAAGAACGTTTGTAAATTTCAGCAATCAATGGATCAAAAACAATCCCATACCGGAGGGCAAATCCACTTGGGGTACATTTGGAAAACTGGAGCAGATGAACCAGCTAATTATACGCAACGTTCTGGAGAAGCCAGCCAAAACCTTTAAGTCGGATGCGGAACGCAAGGCGAAAGTCTACTATGAGTCGTGCCTGGATGTGGATGAGCACATGGAGAAACTGGGTGCCCAGCCAATGAACGATTTGCTTAAGCAGATTGGAGGCTGGAATGTGACGCAGAGCGGCTTCAATGTGACCAAATGGAAGCTGGGCAACACACTCAAAATACTGCACAACAAGTGAGCACCTCGTATTGCCTAGACTCTGGATGTAGACATTATTTCAAATATTTATGGCATATCTCAAACGCATTTTAGATACAATTTCAACTGTTTGTTCGGCTGGGCCATTGGCGAGGACGACAAGAACTCCACGCGCCATGTCATACAGATTGACCAGGGCGGCCTGACGCTGCCCACCGCTGACTACTATAACAACAAGACGGACATTCACCGCAAGGTGCTCAGCGAGTATATCGAGTACATGACCAAGGTATGCGTGCTGCTCGGCGCCAATGAGACCACTGCTCGCCTCCAAATGGAGGCGGTCATCAACTTTGAGAAGAAGATAGCCAACATCACCATACCGATGGAGGATCGACGCAATGAGGAGGCCATGTACCATCCGATGAAGCTCAAGGATCTGATCAAGCTGGCACCGTTCCTCAACTGGACCGATCATTTTGACAATGCCATGCAAATGGTCAAAAGGCGTGTTACTGACGAAGAGATCGTTGTCGTCTATGCACCCGACTTCCTGAAGAATCTGTCCAACATCATTATGAGCATGCAGAAAACAGATGCTGGCAAAATGTAAGTCTCCATAAATATATGATTGCTGTGCAAGCATTTTTCCTTGGCGCAGCATAGGGCGACAATTTGCAGTTGCTTAGGCTTGGGCTTGGGTCTTATATTTAACGCCTTAAGCTAAAACAATCATGGAACTTTTTGAAAAATGAGAATGCTTAGCTTTATGCACAGAAAGAATATAATATAATGCGTTGAACTCTAATCAAAGACTTACCAATCTTTAGTTCACTCGACTAAAATTGGGGTTACGCATTTTGCGATAGGTCAATGATTCAAATCCAAGATATCCATGAGTTAAATCTAACATCTAATTGGTTAAAGCACACATTAAAATACTTTTGCAATTACTTTAAATGTAGCTAATAAAAAATTGTCTGCTCGTTTTTTTGGTTTTTCTTTGCTTGACGCATTACGATTCGCAACAAGTTAAAGCCCAGAAAGAAAGTGATAAGGTGTTTGCAAGCCCGGAATCAATAGAAAAGTTAAACACTTCTTCTTAAAAAACCTATACAGACTATGTATCCAGACGAAACACTTATATTTAGTGTTACACTGAGCAGGTCATTAAAACCAAGTGACAATCGTTGATAACAATTAATTGATAGTGTCATTTAAAAGTCCACTCAAACCTGTAAGCTAATACCTTAAGTAATATATATGGGGCTAGATGAACATTGCTTAGAAATAATATATTCCTGTTTAGTTGATTTACGTATGGATCTCAATATATTCTTCTTCAGATAATCAATCTCAAAGACTTATAATCTCTTAAAAAATGTTGGTATCTATATATAATATATATATATATAAATAGTTTCTCCCGTCTTTAAATACAACAGTATTAATAAGGAAACTTAAAAGTTAACATATTTAAAACTGCATCCTGAAACTGCTGTTGAGTGGGCAACCCTACGACTAGGTTATCTTTTATATAATATAATTTTGTGTACTACATGCTTAAATAATTTTGTTGTTTTTTCTGCAGAACGCTGAACAACTATCTGGTTTGGCAGGCGGTGCGCACGCTGACCAGCTGCTTGTCCAAGCCCTTCCGGGATGCCTATAAGGGCGTGCGCAAGGCGCTGATGGGCTCCGATGGCGGAGAGGAGGTGTGGCGGTACTGTGTCTCCGATACAAACAATGTGATTGGGTTTGCAGTGGGCGCCATATTTGTACGCCAGGCATTCCATGGCGTCTCCAAGCCAGCGGCGGAGCAAATGATCGGCGAGATACGCGAGGCCTTTAAACTGAATTTACAGAATCTCAGCTGGGTAGACAAGCAGACGCGTGAGCGAGCCATTGAGAAGGCCAACGAGATCTCAGATATGATTGGCTTCCCCGACTATATACTCGATCCCGTGCAGCTGGACAAGAAATATGCCGAGCTAAATATAACCGCAAACGCGTACTTCGAGAACAACATTCAGGTGGGCATCTACAATCTGAAGAGCAATCTGAAGCGTCTCGATCAGCCGGTGAACAAGACCAATTGGGGCATGACGCCTCAAACTGTGAATGCGTACTATACGCCCACCAAAAACCAGATAGTCTTTCCCGCTGGCATTCTACAGACGCCTTTCTTTGACATCAACAATCCCAAGAGCCTTAACTTTGGCGCCATGGGCGTGGTCATGGGCCACGAGCTGACGCACGCTTTCGATGATCAGGGGCGTGAATACGACAAGTTTGGCAATATTAATCACTGGTGGGATGCCAAGAGCATCGATCGCTTCAACAAGAAGGCCGAGTGTATATCCACCCAGTACGGCGGTTACAAGCTCAACGGACGCAACCTGAATGGCAAGCAGACTCTGGGTGAGTATCAGATTATCCTTATATCTTGGTATATATATTTTAAAGCCCCCATTTATGCGACAACTCCGTGCAGGCGAGAATATAGCAGACAATGGCGGCTTGAAGGCGGCCTATCATGCCTATCTGCGCACCAAGCTTGACAAGGATGCGGATATCCTTAAGCTGCCTGGCCTAAATTTGACGCATCCGCAGCTCTTCTTCGTTTCTTTTGCACAGGTGAGTGTTTGATGAGTAATGAGATTTAACGGTGCCTTATCAACTATGATCTGTACATGCTTAGGTCTGGTGCTCCAGCACCACAGACGAGACAAATTTGCTGCAAATGGAGAAGGATCCGCATTCGCCATCGCAGTTCCGTGTCATCGGCACGCTGTCCAATATGAACGAGTTTGCCGAAGTATTCCAGTGCAAGCCCGACACACGCATGAATCCGACCAATAAATGCGAAGTCTGGTAAAAATTATAATAACCAATACAGATCTCATAACCTCTGCGAAATACCAAATATAACGAATTCTTTTACCAAATAATTTATCAAATCGACGCACAAAAACAAAACCAAAACCAAAACCAAATGAAAAACAAAAAAACAAAAACAACAACAACTATTACTCGCGAAAAAAGTGCTATAGACAATGCGTATTCGTTTGATTGTCTAGATAGCTTATAGAGCTGTTCGTTTCAAATGTGTGCTAAATGTTTTTGTTGTTGCTAATCTAGATATATACATCATAAATATATATATACGCTTGCAGATTGATATAAATCTATGGGAATACCATAAATTACAAGTCTGTCCAATATTTACGCATACTTTTGTGTACCTCGCCCTCATCATTGAGTGGCTATTTTCGATACTAAGGAATGTTTCAGCTATCTGTCGATGATCAGTTTTGTTTTCCTATCCACCGAAATCAATTACTTCAGTGAGTGGTAAAGCATTTACACACACATTCACTTATCATATAAACTCAGCTATAGATTAAATGCACAACTAACGATAGATATAATTACTTAAGTAATTGTAACTGACGCGTGTCAATAATTAAATATTTATCTTTGAAAAGTAGCAACAACATTTTCTCGACTAACTACAAACTACAGCAACTTTACAGCTATGAATACGTTAGTAATTGTAATCGTAATCTTTCAGTAATTGTTGTTAGGAATCTGTATACATTTGCAATCTTTCAATTATTAACGAAACTGTTATAAGAAATTTATCTACAAATTGGAACAGCAAAGTTCCAATCTCTCGCTAATATCATCTCGCATTTACAAATTGCTCACACAGGAAAAGCTCAACTAAGAAAGTCTATTATATTCTATCAAAGTGTTTGATTATTATAATAGTCTAGATGAATTTGAATCACTTTTTGCTATTCCAAAGATTTGTCAAATCACATTTTGCAAGCTTATATAAACTGTTTCGGCAGGCCGAAATTTATTTCAATTGTATTTATTTACTACAAAAAAAAAAAACAAAACTAAAAAAAAAAACGTCAGTCATTGTGCCTATGGAAAAGTGAAAAACTATCTGACGATAAACCTATTGCATACTTTTGGTTAACGGGCATTGATCGACTTTAAGCCGCGCCTGTACCAAAGCCGAGACTTAAACAACAGCAAAAACAACAACAAAAAAACAATTTTGAAAATTGCGAACTACGAAAGTGAACGCATTACACGAATTAAATAAAGATAAAAAACTTCGATCGTTTTAAGATATATATATATATATATATGTATATGTATGTAGTAGATATTAACAATTTGTAACTGTAAACAGCGGATCGGCGTCGAGATCCGCTCTAGATAAACGTGGAACTAGCTATTTGTATAACTATTTATGTTTTAGGTACACTTGTACTGGAACTACTTTGGAATCGGCGATAGATATAGGCGTAGAGAGTGTGTATGCGAGTGATTGATGTGAACAAAATATCGAACATTTCTATTATGTGAGTGTGCAGCGAAGTCTTTCCCTAACCTAAGTGTGTGTCTGTGTGCGTGAGTGAATTTGTGTGCGTGCGTGTCTATGTCATGACGTGTGTGTGACGAGATGCGCGATACTTTGCAAGCGAGATGGAGAACACATTCATGTAGTATTTGATGCAGTTACTTCTGCCTTTTCGTTGCCAAACTCCAAAGTGCGAACAAAATACCAAAACTAATGAATTTTTGTATTTTGTATATACCCTTATATGCATATATATATATATGTGTATATATTGATCCAAATTAGTTTGATAAAACGGTACCAAATACGATACACATATGTTGTTTTTTTTTTTTGAGATTGGAGCGAACCAAATAGCTATGGCATAATCTTAAGGAAATGAAATAAATAAATTGTCGTGTGAAAATATTAGTGTGTGTATTATCCGTTTTGCCTTCGTTTTGTCCTTTATTCAACTGAAAGCTGTGTTAGTTTTTTGACACCTGGTATGTGTATGTGTGCGTGTGTGTGTGTGTCTATAGATTTTTATATCAAACGCGACCATAGAACAAAACAAACAACAACACCAAACAAATGCACGTGCATTTTAGTATAGATCAGTCTCAGACATGAAACTCAAATAGCTGAAATAGAAACGGTATACGAAAATAGATGAAGATCTCTGAGCAAGCATTTGGCACATATCAATATTTCAATGGCAACGTACAAGAATGATATGTGTTTAGTATTATATGATGCGATACTGTCATACAACAATCTATTGAGAACAAAACACCAAATGTATGGAATTTATTTAATACTAAACTAGCCAGGTTCCGAATACCATTTGGCATATAAGTAAATGATATGCATATATATTTAATGTGCTCAACTGTACCAACTTCCACATATTTCTTAGGTATAACACGAAAATACACGAGAAAATATAAGAAAATACACAATAAATAAATAGCATAACAATATATTAGATATTTGTCGAGATCTGTCTATAAACGGGTTCCTTAATTGAACAACCACTCGAAATGGACAAAAGCAACTATCTATGTGAATCGCACAAATCTTTTAAAATCGATAATATTTTCTTTTATGTCACCGATCTATTTTTTTTTTTGAAATAACTAATATATATACTATAACGAATGCATTTAATTTTTATTTAATTGGTCTTATTTTATGGAACTAAGTTGACACTAGCTAAAGCTAAACAATATTAGAGTCCAATAATACTTATATATATGTATACACGCGAACATAAATAAACAAAAATACATATAAACATATATATGTGTACCGATAAGTAAATAGAAGGAAATCATAACTGTACTAATAACTTTACAGCATGCACACCTACGTGCTTGTATGTGTGTGTCGAGATACAAATTATTTTTATTGTCGAAAAAAACAAAACAAAACAAAAAATATTGTATACATATGAAAGCGAAATAAATTCAATAACTGAGTGTATAATACAATTCTATTACTGCCGCAAGCATCAGAGCTTGAAATTATTCTGAGTCAGCAGCCTGGAACCGCACAGCTGAGGAGCAGCTCCCGTTTTGGCCAACTCTGTTAGCCAGATTCCTAATTAGATTCAAGTGGCTCGCCATCTTTGACCCATTCATTTCAGGGCCGTGCTGCGACTATTATCATAGACATAATTACCTGAAACCTTTTATAAATATGCTGAATAACACAAATTGTAATTTAACGCACCAGACCAGGCGCAATTTGTTGCCGTGCGGCGACAGTTATCAGCCGAGACTTTAAATTCATTTGGAATGGAAATTGGGCAAGATATAAATGCAGTCTGTAGACTGTAGTCTTCCTTAACGATTTAAATTTTAAAGCATGGAGTATTTAACACATTTGCGTTTTATTTTAACAATCAGCTGTGTTTTCGTACTCAGTCAAAATAGTGCACTAAAAATATTCCGTACAAAGACTTTGCCCCCAATAATATGCAATACTAATTTAAACAACATATATTGTTTTTTATTTTTTTTTTTAAATTTATATATATTTTATTATTGACGAGATTTCTACTACCTATTTGTTTATGATTTGTGTGTTTGATTTTGTAAAATTTATCAGTTACTTTGCCAAGCCCTAGATAATTGTCGGTGCTTCTGCTCACGGTTCGAGTTAATTTCTTGCTTTTGGGGGTGCGTGAAGCTGCGAAGCATCCATGAGCACAGGTTCATTGGTTGGTTCAATTGTAATCAAATAGATAAGTATTTAAAACTTATTTTTTAAATATTTTCAAAATTGTAATGAAACAATCCGTTTCGTAAACTTTATTTTTAACTTACTGCTGCCCGTCGTACTGAAAATATTGAAAGCCGTAAATATTTTCATATTCAATATGCGGGCTACATTGGATCTCTACTCAAAATTGGCATCTACCGTACATGGTTAGATAAATGCAATGTTTGGGGCCAAAGTTGTATATATATTTTGGTACATTTAGTAGTCTTAAGCCTCTAAGTATTTCCTGTAGGATTGTTAGGTCAGGTCGAAAAAATGTATCAAGTCGATTACAATATAGTATATTATAATTGACTTGATATTAATCTTTTCGACCTGACCTGAACTGACCTGATATGTATATATATATATATATATATATATATATATATATATAATGACTTTTACTTAATGACATTTAACATAAACGTCACCGACTGATTTGTTTGGGCAATTTGATACATAAATACTTTAAAAATAATTCATTCTATTCCCGTAGTTTTAAAATACAAATTTCGTACCATACTTTAAGTTGAAGTTAGAAATAACAAATTGTCTGTCTTGCTCGAGTGAAAAAATGATTGGTATATTAACAAAAATTCCATCCCAACTGCTGCACAGTGATTTTTTCAAATGAAAATATCACAAACGAAATGTTATTTCTGGTCTCAGGTTTCTTTCAAATGCCAAAGGCAGTTACTTTTTCAAATAGGAACATGTCTTTTAAAGGCTTACACTTTTTTGGGTTGTTTTTGGTTTTTTTATGTTCCTTTCTAATATAATAGGCTATATTTCGTATTTTGCTTGCTGCAAATCGTTATTATTATAATTAGTTGACTGTGTCCAGAAAGGCCGTGTTCCAGCTGCTGACCCCATGCCTAGCAATTTGCGCAGATACGGAGGGCACAGAGGGGGCAGAGTTGGGCGTCTGGCGCTTGGCGCTTGGCGCGACATTAAATTGCTTAAAGCTGTCGAATGTTGATTTTGTGACAAAAGTTCTAATAAACTTTGTCCGGTGGCAAGCCCAAGGATACACACACACACACACACACACACACGCACACACACACACGCACACACACAAATGCCTGCAAATTGCTTACATAATAAATAATAATAATAGCGTGCGATTTTTGGCGCAATTTAAATTTATTTATGGCCCTTGTTGTGGTTGCCCTCGCTCGCATGTTGGGCTCAAATTGTGCCCGACTCCAGTGGCTGCTGGCCACGCCTCCGGCTATTGGCAGCTTAGACGAGGCATGCGTCATGCTTTCTGCATGTAGATGCCACAGCACAGCACAGCACATGTATATATATGTATGTATATTCCCGCACCTATGTACGTACATACCTGTGCTGCCTGGCAGCCAAACGCGCCGACATCGACATCGATTTCGTGTCCTGGCGGACATTCTATTCTTATCATTGCGGCTGATCCTGGTCGCCAGGCAACCTGCGCAAAAATCATTTAATCTGCTTAGCTGGAAAGCCGACCCCGGCACTGGCAAGTGCTTGGTTTTTGTCCCCACCCCCCTTAGCCTGTCTTCGACTCGCCTTATCGCATTTGCTAGTTATTCCTGAAACGTAGGTGGAGGGGGAGGGGGAGGGGGATTGAGGAGGGTCGTTGTCAACCAAAATTGTAATTATACAAGGCGCACTTACTGCCAGCAGTAAACCCATCCTGCAGTTTTATGGTGTCACTGCTGAGCCTACCGATTGCCAATTTGCTTACTTTTATTTCGCATTCTCTGCTAAAGTTTCCGACATTAATTTGCCTTCATTTGCATTTGATTCTCAGCGTAATTACGACTCTGCTTAGTTCTGAATATCGCCCTCAACTGATTGACGAATTTCCTTGAAAATCAAATTACTATTAAATGTCAGCGATCAATTTAATACCTACCTCAAAGTCTGTTTAATGTTCAATTCCCACAATCCAATCGAATTTCGTTTAAATTACAGATTTCTGCTTTCGACATAAACATTCGTTCCAAAAAATTGAGCTAGAAGCAAGCACAATTATACTTATTTGACTTGCCGAATGCTGAAAACCCTTGCTGACATATGCAGGTGTACAATATATTTCGCATCTCATTCAAAGAAGATATTATGTTAAACTCCGATTGTTGCTATGGCAGCCATAAGAAGAAGATAGCCAAATGGGGCTAAAGATGTCTCCTTTAAGGCAATAGAAAGCTGTTCGCCTGCCAAACAGGTTGGTTGAGATGTTGTCAATGTAAATATTGTTTATTAATTTCTTGAATCTGTGGCTTTGCAAAAACTAAATCGAAATGCAAAATGTGTTGACTAAATTAGCAGCATGCTAACAAATGTGTTGAGCATTCGCCGTTGTTTTGCATGAGAGTCAGCAAAATGCGTGGCTAATTAATGCAATTGCAGTCGAAATTATTTGCAGCCACACACGTTGCACAAACAGCAGCTCGATCGGCCACAAGGCCGGCAACAAACTTGCAACCGAAACCAAAGCCAAAGCCAAAGCCAAGTCCAA